CAGCTGAGTCTCCAGGGCGGCTTTTCCTGTGGGGCGGTGCAAAAGACAGAGCCGCTTGGGAACCCCGTTTCCTCAGACCCCCCCCCCCCCCTCCCCCCCCCCCCCACCCGGTTCCTTTGGTGCTGCCGGCTCCTCTCCCTCCTTGGCCGCCTAGCACTGCCGGGTCCCTGCTGTTCTGTCCCACCAGGAGTCACGGGGAGGTCTTGGCAGGCCTCAAGGCCCTTGAGAAGCTGAGCTGCATGGCAGACAACTCCGAGGAAGCGCAGCTGCAGCTGGCAGGTAGGAAGGAGCCCCCTCTGGGGACCCCCAGCCCAGCCCACCCGAAGAGGGGGGGGGCTGCTGCACCTTCCGTCCCTCTCTTTCCCCACAGGGACCATCCTCTACGGAGGCCACGTTCTGGATGAGGGGGATGCGCAGGCAGTGGAGAGCTTGTGCCAGCAGTGCTTGGCCCCCTCTTCCCACCTGCTGCCTGGCTGTGGCCTTCAGAGGCTCCTGGCTGCGGTCATCGGCCACACAGGCCCAGGTAAGAGGTGGCCGTGCGCAGCCTCTCCCACAGAAGGCAGGCTGGCTCGGCCCTGATCTGCTCGTTCTTCCCTCAAGGGTTCTTCGGAGATGAGGCCTTGGCAGCCACCCAGGGCCGGATGGAGCAGCTGCCCAGCCCCATGGACCCCACCTGGGTAGGCCTTTGCGGCGGCCTGCAGACCCAAATGCTGGCCAGGCGCAGCCAAGCCCTGCTCTCGGCCCTGAAGGCGTCCCAGGGCCTTTGGTCTTGCTGGACCTGCCAGCCCCCGACGACGCTGGAGCAGGTGGCCAAGCAAGGCCTGGAGGTGGTGCAGGAACTGCAGAAGCAGCTGGACCAATGTGGCTGGGAGGTGGGAGCTCAAGGGCGACCACCCTTCGGACAGCCGCGCCACAAAGCCCGCCCCCTACAGCGCTTCCTGCTGGAGGAGGCGGGCGCCTTCCGGGCCGTGCTGGAGCAGGTGGGCAGGGACCTGGCCTGCATCCAGCAGGGCCTGCAAGGACTGCCCTGTTCCTCCCCACGCTGCACCGCTGTCCTGCAGGCCCTGCAGCGGCAGCAGCTGCCCCGCCACTGGCTCCCCTACACCCCCACTGGCCCGGAGCCCTTGCAGGACTGGCTGGGGACTCTCCAGCGGCGGGGCGAGCTTCTGTGCCGCTACCTTCACTCCATTGGGGGGGAGCCGGTGGTCTGCTACCAGCTGGCAGCCTTCCAGCAGCCCCAGCGCCTCTTCTTGGCCCTGCTCCAAGAGACGGCCCAGGCCAAGAAGCAAGAACCGGAGAGCTTCCGCCTGGACCAGCAGGTAAGGGCGGCTCTGTTGCCAGGGTGGGGAGGGGCAGGCCCAAGCCCTTGGCTGTGAACCCCTTCCCTTGGTTTTGCAGGTGTTGCCCAGCCTGCTGCCCCCCAGCATTGCCCCCGAGAAGGGCCTCTACCTGGGTGGCCTGGAGGTCTACCACGCTGGCTGGAATGCCCAAGGCGGCCATCTCCAGGAGAGCCAATCGGCACAAGCCTGCCAGCTGCCTTCAGTTTGGGTACAAGCCACCCGAGAGCCCTGGGTGGCAGCCTCTGTCCCCGACAAGTATCAATGCCCTGTGTACCTGGGAACCCCCCAGGCAGCCCCGGACCTCCGCATTCAGCGGGTCGTCATGCACCTGGCTCTCCCTTCCAAGATGCCTCCTGAGCTGTGCACCCAGCAGCGGGTTCACGCCATCAGCATTCTGCGGTGAGAAGCCACCAGAAGGGAGAAATCCCGGGGTCAAGCTGTCCCAAACCTCCCTCTTCGTAGAGATTGCTACCATAACTACAGAAATAAAGCCATATATTATGAGTGTGTACAAAACAGTCCCCCAGTGCTCTCTCCCCCTTTGCCAGCCATGCAGGCTGCATCAGTTATAAATAAGGTGACCTCGGACATGCCCCCCCCCGCCCCCCACTGGGGCCACCTGGCCCGCAGGCTCCCCAAACAGTCCAGTCCCTTATTTCAGGTCCACATCAAAGTCCAGCACCAGCAGCTTGGTTTCTTCAGTGCCGTTGCGGCTGCCCACAGCACACACAAGCTTGGTGTTGGAGGCACGGATGCGCCAGACGACTCCCCCACTGCCCCCACTTTCCAGGGCAACCAGGTTGCGCACAAATTCCCCCGTCTTGAGATCCCACAGCTTGACTGTGCCATCATCTGAGCTGGTCACGACAAACTTGGAACTGAACTGCAGGCAGGTGACTGCACTCTGGTGCTTACTGGGCCCTGCAAAAGGGAGGGAGGGGAAGGTGGGACTGTGCATCTGTCATTCTTCCAAGTGAAGCCACCCCTCCCCATGGCCCCACTTCCCCCACGCCCAGCCGCCAGGGCTCCTTCCAGGCATGGCGTGCAGCCCTCCCTTCGCAAGAGCAGCCACTGATGCCGCTGGCACTTGCCCCAAAGCAGCCTGCAGAGGAGCCGCCGCTGCCATGCTCAGCTCTCGGGCCCGCCTTCCGTCGTGCTGGACCCTGCATGTGAGAGCAGGCTTCTCCATCTGGGGAGATTACCCCGGGACACTTCTGGAGACCTTTGCCAGTCTCGGCCTCCTGCCTCACTCACCTTGGAGGGTCTGCAAGCACTGTCCCGTTTTGATATCCCAAATTTTCACGGTGGAGTCGGCATTGCCAGAGACGAGGATATTGTCCCGCAACTCCATGCCGCTGGTGAGGGACTGGTGCCCCATCAGGGTGTGCAAGCAGTTGCCACTCTCGGCATCCCATACGCGGATTGAGGTGTCCAGAGAGCCGCTCACAATGTGGGTGCCATCGAACTGCCCAATGGTAGGAGACAAAGTGGCAAATGAGCAGCTCTGGAGGGCTGGGCTTGACACCCCCCAACCCTCCCCAAGCCTTTTCCAGCCACGAGACTCCCGAAGCCAAGGACGGAGAGAACCTCACCTGCAGGGAGTAGACCCGGTTGGTGTGGCCTTGCAGAGTGTGGGTGCAGCTCTCTGTCTCCGGATCCCAGACTTTTACTGTGTAGTCGTAGGCCCCGCTCACCACCTTATGCCCATCATACTGGACGCAGCGCACAGCAGCCACATGTCCCATCAGCACATGGAGGCACTGCCCGGTCTCTATATCCCAAAGACGGAGAGTGGCGTCGCGAGAGCCACTCACCACCCTGCCAAGGGAAGCGGAGTAGCCTCAGCCTCGGGTTTGGCACCACAGGAAACCCAAAGCGGCTTTCTGGACACCCCTCTCCTGCCCCAGGCTCCCCTACCTTGTGTCGTGGAGGTGCATGCAACGCACAGTCGAGGTGTGGCCGTAGAGCGTATGCACACATTCACCCGTGTCCGCGTTCCACACTTTCAAGGTCCGGTCTGTAGAGCCACTGATGATGATATTGTCCCTCATCTGGGAGGACCAAACACCACCGGTGTGTCCTACCAGAGTTTGCACACACTGTGGGAGAAGCAGAGGTTCAGAAGGGCCAGGCAGGGCAAAGAAGGCCTCCCCGGCCAGAGAAGCTGAACTGGGGCTCACCTCGCCGGTGATGGCAGACCAAACCTTGAGTGTGTTGTCATCAGAGCCACTGACGATGCGGTTGCCACAGAACTGGAGGCAGGTGATGACGTGGTCATCGTGGCCTTTGAGGACCTGCTCCGGGCATAGAACAAAAAAAGCGAGCTGCAGCCCCAGCCATGGAGAGGCTTCGTCCAGGAGAGCTCGCCTTAAGCTCTGCTGCTAGGAGCAAGCCCCAGGACCAATGGCTGTGAGCACAGAGCCCACAGCGGGGTTTCCCATCTTTACACGTGGACGAATGAGACCTCTGGAGGTGAGCAACCAGGGCTCCTCTCTTTGCCTGCCCCCTTCTGGGTCCTCCTCACTGGCAGCTCCTCCCCCTGAGTACGCAAGGGGCATCAAGACCGGTTCAAGGGACCACGTTCCTGCTGTGGAGACAGGCCAGGCTCTGGCCTCGCAGTCCATCCCGCCTCCTCTCCCCAGCCTTTACATTCCCCAGGGCAGACTCGGTGCCAGCAAGATGAAAAAGGAGGCTGTCGGGTGAAAGCCATCTTGGAGGAGGCTCTTTGTACCTTGGGGGGGCGGGCATCTCCATTGCGCCAGTTCATATCGATGCGATGCTGCCGTAGAAAGGCCAGCTTCCAAGGGCTGTACATGAAGCCCGGGCTCAGCAGCCGACGCTTACGCAGGCTCAGTGGCTCATCGATACCTGCACAGGGACCAGGGTGGCATCGTCAGGGCAAGGGGGGGCCAGGGGGGGAGTCCGCCCTGCAACAGCAGAGTGAAGCAAAGGCGGAAGCCGGACCTCACCTCCATCGCGGCACTTCTCCCGCCAGAGCAGGTTGTCTTCAGCCAGAATGCGCCAGTAGCGACATGTCTGCGCAGCTCGGAGCAGGTCCCGAGGCTCCAGGAAGGAGAGGACATAGAGAGCCAGCTGGAAGGGAAGGGAGAGCAGTAAGGTGGGGGCTGTTCAATCAAAGCCCAGTCGGTGCACTCAGGCCATGTGCCACCCGGAGCCCACCAGGCAGCTTCCTCCCTCCAGCTAGGTGCCATACCAATAACCATAACTGCTCGAGGGCAGTGCTGTGCAGCACCCCCACGTCTCTCCTCTGGTGACCCTTCCGGATGGCTCTGCAACGCTGGACAGGCCCCTCCATGCCCCCTGAAGGTCTGCTGCGTGGCCAAGGAGACCTGGCCAGGAACAGAGTCCAGCCTCCTACCTGGACACGACCCCCTGCAGCTGTCTCAGCCCACTGGCTTCTACTGCCTTCTGCTTCTGCCACTTTCAGGCTCCACCTCACAAGCCCTCTTGGCTACCATCACCAGAAGGCAGAAGCCCGGGGGGGCCTCTGGCCCGCCCTGATCTCCTTGTGTCCGTTGTGTGAGTAGCACAACCGAAGCTCTACTTCCATCTCCCCCCAGACTTTATATTCTTTTTCTAGTTATGCTCCTGCTCTCCTCTTTCAGTAGGACTGCCTGAAACTCTCTGGCGATGCCATTCACGCTCCCCCTTCCGTAAAAAGACTTGCTTTGTGCCAAACAACCCACTCCAACTACACCCTGCGAGGCCTCCTTCCACACAGGCCACCCACCTCCTTTGGCAGAAGCGAGATGAAGTCCCGCTGGAACTGGGGCTCGATCACCTGCATCATGTGCTTAATCTGAGGGGGCTCACAGCGGTCAATGAGCTCGTCCAGGGCCAGCAGCTTCTCCGGGCCGCTCCAGCGCTGAGGAAGGGTACACGGAGGAGCAGAAAAAGGACAAAGAGGAACAAGCTTGTTCTCTTGTCTATTTCTACAAGCAGCAGCAGCAGCAGCTAAAAACCTTTTATGCAGCAACCCACAAACCCCAAAACCTCCGATGGGCCTCCGTGCTAGAAGTCCGCCACCTGCTGACCTGGAAAGTGCGTAACCAGTCCTGCAGCTCAAGGGGCGGAGCCACGGGGGGGACGTGCCGGCATCGCGCCTGGCTGGCCTTGGCATTCCGGAGATCCCCAAAAGTGGACGCAGGCCGGGCGATGCAGGGACCCAGCATCCTGGAGAGAGAGCCAGGTCAGCCGCTTTGTCCTAACTCCTGCCTCTCATCACACACACACACACACCCTCCCCTCCCCTCCCCGGGCGCTTACCTGCCCGGCTCGGAACTTTTGCAGAGCTTCTTCCCCGGGGACTGAGCTCTGCCCTCGGGGGCCCCGCCCTCCGACTTGCGCTTCATCTGCAGCAGGGAGAGACCAGGACTTCAGCGGCCCCAGCCACTTGGGGTAAACGGAGGAGCCCGACCGGTCCCTCCCGAAGCAAGCAGGCTCCGCGCCCCCGCCCAGCCGCCCATCAAAGCAAGCTCCTGCCAAGGCTGCAAAGTCGCAAAACCCCGAAGGCCCCTCCGGCTCCTGGCAGCCCCGGCCCCGCTCTCCCTACCTTGGGCCGGGAGTGCTGGAGGAGCCCCCCGCCCTCCGTCCGCTCCACATAGTCGATCCAGCGCTCGTCCACCGTGTAGTAGAAGTAGCCGTCTCCGCCCGCCTCGTCGCCGCTCTCGCTCTCCTCCTCCGACTCGCCGCTGCCTCGCGGGGATCCGGGCCGGCCACCGCGCTCAGGACTGCGCTCCTGCCCTCCGGGGCCGCGGAAGGCGGCGGCGGAGGCGACTTCCCCGCGCCGTTCTTGCGCTCCGCCGCCTCCGACATGCTGCGAAGGGGAGGCGAGGCTGCGCGGCCCCGCGGACACCCTGCCGGCGCGCGGAGAACCTTGGGCGGCGTCGGGGCGCCGTGGCGGAGGGCCGTCGGGAGTCTCCGGCCGGTGCGAGCAGGTCAGGCGCTGGCGGTTCAGCTCCAGGGTCCGGGCGGTGATGCCCTTGACGAGCAGTAGGTCCTCCAGGCGGCCGAAGCCCTGCAGCTCCTGCGCGAGCCGGGAGGCGGTCAGGCGGGCGTCCGCAGGACCCCCGCCCCGGAACAGCCGCCGCCGCCGCCCCCCGGGCCGCCGCTCACCTCCCTCTTGCGCACGATCCCCCGCGCTCGCCGGCGCCCGATCCCGACCAGCGCCCGCTCCAGCTCCGCCGCGCCGGCCCGGTTGACATCTATCCTGTTGGAGCCGGACCCCGACATCGCCTCCGCCGCGCTCGGGCCGCCGCCGCGCGCCTGCGCAGAGCCCCCGCCCCGCCTACATTTCCCAGAGAGCCACACAGGAGCCACCACTCGCCAGCAAGACGGGCCTTTATTGGTCGGGAGGGAGCCCCGACGTCACCGGCGCTTATACAGGCAGGGCCGCAGCGCCAGTCCGCGCGGCTCCTCGGCCGCTTTCGCCACCTCCGCCCGTTCGGCCTTGCGCAGCTCGAAGGTGTAGAAGTGGCTGCCCGACACGTCCTGCGGAAGGAGGGAGGGAGAGGCCGATGAGAGGGGTCCGCGGCAGGGAGAACCCCGCCCCCTTGCCCGCCCGCCCTCGCTCCCACCTACCTTGGAGGTCAGCCGGAAGCCCAGCCGGGCCAGCGCCCCCAGGAAGGCCCGCAGGTCCGCGAAGCGACTAGCCACCTCGGCCACCAGCAGCGTCCCCCTGCAGAGAAACAGCGCGAACGTTCGCCCGGCCGGCCTTGGGAGCCCCCGCCCAGCAGCCTCCCCCCCACCGCCCCCGCCCTTACCCGGCTCGAAGGACGCGGTGAGCCTCTTGCAGGATCTCGCGCAGGTTGGTGCCCATCAGCGCCAGGCAGAAGACGGCCACGTCCACGGAGGCGTCCTCCAGCGGCACCTGCGGGCAACGAGAAGACCTGTCCGGGCGGGGCGGCGGGCGGGAGGCGGCGGGAGCAGCCGGCCCGTCTGGCCTACCTGTGCCATGTCGCAGACGATCACCCGCGGATCTAGGGCCGCCAGGTCGAAGCAGTGCACTCGGTTGGGCAGGCTACGAGCCAGGGTGCAGTCCCCGCAGCCAAAGTCAGCTACGACCAGGGAGGCCGGTCTGCCGGGTGGAGACGGCAAGTTAGCACAGGCGGAACAGTCTCTCCACCCCCACAGAGCCTGCCCCCCCCCCCGTTTTGAATCTGGGCAGAGGAGTGAGGCAAAAAGGCCCCCCACCCCCACCCCTCTCTCAGAAGAAAGCCTGCCACATGGATGAGGGAGGGGCAGTAACAGTCTTATTTCGTTTAACTTATATTAAGAGGAGTTCCTCCAATCACCCACCCCACCCCCCGCCCCCCACCCCCGAAAAAAAAATCCTGTATCCAAATAAACCCGTTTGTCCCACAGGCTCCTTTAGGTTCTCTTGTCTGTTCGTTCCCTGCCAAAGGAAGAAGCCCTTCGAGCAGGCACACCAAGGGACAAGGACTGTTTTGTAACATTTGCCAAAGAGTCTTTAACAGCAGGACAGAGCAGTCACACAGGAAATATTCTGGCCGCAATAAACCAGAAAGGGAGCTTGTTGAGCCCCAAAGGAGAACTGGACCTAAGTCCACATCTTGAGCCACAGCAGGGCCCAGAGCTCATAGATCACAACAGCCACAGGCAGGCCTCTCCAGCAGTCCAGGGAGCCCCACCACCACCACCACCTACTCCCACTGGACTGAGCTCACCCTGACCTATGGTGAAGATAGTGCACAAAGCGCTCCACGGGCCGCTCGGGCCAGGAGGCCGCCTGCAGGGCAAAACCTCGGTGGTAGACAGCTAAAGCCTCGGGGTCCTCCCGGAAAAGCTGGGCTGCCTGTTGGCTGGAGCGTGTGTACAGCATCTGGTTGATGTAGCGGAAGCGAGCGGCATCCAGGCGGTTCTCCAGGCGCTGCCTCAGGGACGGTCTCTGCCCGCCAGGTGCCTTGGTATCCGGGGCCAGGCCCCCATGGTCATCAGGAGGGTGGCCTGCCACAGAAGACGCCAGAGGCTGGCCGTTGGAGGCCTTGAACTTGTTGTTTTGCCGCCGCTTGTTCTTCTGCCGGTTTCTCCACTGTCTCCTGGTCAGCTGCTGCCTCAGCTCCTGGGCTGCTCCGTCTCCCGTGATGGACGCCTGGCTGCCCTCCTTTGCTGCCCCTTCACCTAGACAGAAGCCCTTCCTATCAGGCCCATGGAGACCGAGAGGTTGGTTCACCACAGCCGCCCCTGCCCCTGACCATGCAGCCCAGATCTCCGCCGACTGATTCGGCGGGGAGCGGACCCTCCTTGCATCCAGGGTGTGTGTGTGTGTGTGGCTGGGGCAGAAGAGCACAGCGCCCTCCCGTCCTCTCAGCCTGTTCGCTGGTTACCGCCGGATCCCCGGGGCTGCACAGCCTGGCTCCTCTGAGCGGATCACCGCGGCCAGTCCCCGAGGAGGCTCCCCCTGTAGCCGCGGGTCTTCGGGCGGCAGACCGATTCTCGCAGCTTTCTCTCGGGGCGCAGGCAGCGCGCTTGGCGGAGGCGATTCGCTCCCCTCGGAGTCTCGCTTGAGGCGGAGCCTCCGGTACCTGGCACTCTCGGGGCGCCGCGCTTCCAGTCGGGCACTGGGGCACAACGGCGGCTCGCCCGGTGGCCGCCCGCGCTCTCGGCCGCCTCGTCTCCGCGCCGCCCACCGCCGGGAACTCTCTTGCCCGCCTCCGAGCCCGCAAGGCCGCGCGGCACCTCAGGCCGTGGCCGCCGGTGCAGGGCGGCCCGGAGGCGCTGCCGGCAGAGGAGCGACGCCCGATCCGCCAAGGAGCCCGCCGCCAGAGTCGTCCTCCTCCGCGCCGCCATCGCCTCCGCGGCCGCCGGAACACGCGCGCCGGAACTAGCGCAACGGGCAGCGCCGCGGGGAGGCCCGCGCGCTCCCTCTGGCGGTCGGAGGGCGCCGCCGCGTCGGTTGGCCGCTGCCGCCAGCTGGCGGGGCGGGGCGAACGGCGCGGAGCGGCCACACCCGGAGCTGGCGAGGAAGGCGGCTGGCGGCGGCGGCGGCGGAGGGCGCGGGGCCATGGACGACATCTTCACGCAGTGCCGCGAGGGCAATGCGGTGGCCGTGCGCCTCTGGCTGGACAACACCGAGAACGACCTCAACCAGGGGTGAGTGGGCGGTCGGGCGGGGGCCGCTCAGGAGGGAGCCGGGGCTGGCGGCGCTTTCCGGGAGCGCTGCTGCTGCTGCTGAGCCGCCGGGGGTCCGGGAGGGGGGGAGTCGGGGGAGGGGGAGTCGGGGTCTGGGGAGACCCTGCAGGGGGTTCCTGGCCGCGGGTGGGCGCTGCCCGCGAGACCCCCGCCCCAACGGAAGCCGTGGACGGCCGGAGTGCCTCCCCGCCCCGCTCCCATCTCCATTTAAGGGCCGCCCGCTGGCGCTGCCCGCCCAGCCCGCGGAGGAGCGAAGGAGGGCGGGAGGAGAGGCTGGGCGCTGCCTCCGCCGCTTCCCTGCCTGGCTTCCTCCCTCCCCGCAGGGACGACCATGGCTTCAGCCCCCTGCACTGGGCTTGCCGCGAAGGGCGCTCCAGCGTGGTGGACATGCTGGTCATGCGCGGCGCCCGCATCAACGTCATGAACCGGGGAGACGACACCCCCCTGCACCTGGCCGCCAGCCACGGGCACCGCGACATCGTCCAGAAGGTGGGCTGCCGGACGGGACGGGGAGGGGTACGGGGGCGGCGGCGGCCCTGATGCCCCGACTCTCTCTTCTCTCCCGGTGCAGCTGATCCAGTTCAAGGCAGACATCAACGCGGCCAACGAGCATGGCAACACCCCTCTGCATTACGCCTGTTTCTGGGCCCAAGAGCAGGTGGCAGAGGTATGTGGGGGCTTCCTGGGGTGGAGGGCTGTAGTCCTCTGAGCCTGGCTGTAGCCCCGGGGGTCGCTTGGGCCATCTCCCTGCCTCACTTTCCCTCCCTGTTGCTGCCAGGACCTGGTGGCCAGCGGGGCACTAGTCAGCATCTGCAACAAATATGGAGAGACGCCCCTGGACAAGGCAAAGGAGCCCCTGCGGGACACACTGAGAGGTGCGCTCCTCTTCTAGCTGACCTCCGGCTTCTTCCTTCTGCTGCTGCGGCTGCTGCGGCTGCTGCTCTTGGGCGGGAGGGGCGGAGTTGACCCAAGGACCCGCCCTGCTATTAACCCGGCAGGCAGGTGGGCGCCAAGAGGGAGTCTTTTCCCTGTGGCCCCCTGTGTGAAGCAAGTCGCCAGGCTGTCGCCTCGAAACTCAGGCAACCCAAGTTTGGTGTGGAGCTTGGAGTTGGAGCCAGGAGCATCTGACGGGGATGGCATGTCTCCCTTGGCATGTTTGGAGAGGCCAGGGCTGAGGACGATGCCGTCTCAGGCCCCTCAGGCGTTGAGGGAGGTGGGGTGACCTGGCGGAGAGCTGCCTGCCTTCCCAGACACGGGGGGGGGGGGGGGGGGGAGGTCAGCTGCTGTGGTAGATAGGCAGCAGCTGATCCCCTCTGAGGAGGAAGACCTGTCACCCGCACAGAGCGGAGCGTTGGCAAGCCAATGTCATCGAGGTGATGGTTGTCCCGAAGTGGCAGCTGGACTTACTTGTCTTTCTTGGAAGACATTTCGCTTCTCATCCAAGAAGCTTCTTCAGTTCTTTAGAACTTCAGACATGAATTGAATTGAATTGAATTGATTTTATTTGTAGGCCGCCCTTTTCCCTGAGGGGACTCAGGGCGGCTCACAGAAACCAGGGAGAGGGGAATACAATACAATACAATACTAAAACAACAACACATAATAAAATAATACACAACATGCATACAACATTCGGGCGGGGCAATGGTCCTTATCCCCAGGCCTGACGGGCGAGCCAGTTCTTCAAGGCTATGCGGAAGGCCTGGACGGTGGAGAGGGTGCGGATCTCTACGGGGAGCTCGTTCCAAAGGGTCGGGGCCGCTACTGAGAAGGCCCTCCTCCTTGTGGTTGCCAGCCGGCATTGGCTGGCCGATGGGATGCGGAGGAGGCCTAACCTATGAGATCTTATAGGCCGTAGGGAGGTAATTGGCAGAAGGCGGTCTCTCAAGTATCCAGATCCACTGCCATGTAGGGCTTTATGGGTGGTCAATAGCACTTCTGAAGAAACTTCTTTGATGAGAAGAAGCGAAATTAAAGAAAAAACAGAAAGTCCAGTTGCCTCTTGAAAAAGCATCTTTAGGACAACTGTGACCTGGAGGACTGAGATCTTCTTAGACGAGCAATTTGTGCTAAGTATAAATAATTTATTAAGGAGACAGATCTAAATCTCCTGGTGGATCACCACTGACCAAGCAATGTACTGTAGCTGCCAAAATAGCCAACGCAATCCTGGGACAATGTCAGGTGCTAGTACCGCTTTATACTGTAGTAGCAAGGAACGCCGTGCCCAGTTCTGAGGTTCTGAGGCCTAGAAAACCTGCCTACGAGGAGTCTGGAGGGACGCTGACCTAGTAGTAGGGAGGGGCGGCAAAGAAAAGAAGCGATTAAGAGAACTGGGCATGCCCAGCCTGTCGAAGAGGAGGATTCGGGGGGGGGGGGGGAACAGGGCGACTCTCTTCCAGGGCTTGAGGGGACTGACTTGTTCTCCGAAGCAGCTGAAGGCAGGACAAGAAGCGACACCTAGAGAGGCTTGTTAAAGAGAGACATTTTCTGACACAGAACAATTACTCAGTGGAGCAGCTTCCCTCCAGGGCTGTGGGGCCTCCATCGCGGGTAGTTTGACCAGGATTGTATAAGGTCTCCTGCCTTGAGCAGGGGGTCAGACCCTTCCAGCCCTAGGAGTCTGTCACCCATGTTCATCCCACCTGGTCCCAAGGAAAAAACTGGGTTCCCAAAAACCCCAAGAGCGCTTTCAATCCATCTGTCTGCTTCCCCCTGCCAGTTTCCTTGGGTAAATTTGGGGAGGGGTGGTGGAAGGAATGGCCGGAAGAGGCAATGGGGATCAAGCTCTCCGTCTTCCCTGACCGCTCCCTCTGCTCTTCCAGAGCGTGCAGAGAAGTCGGGCCAAAGCCTGACCCGCCTCCCCTACAAAGACACGTTTTGGAAAGGCACCACGCGGACTCGACCACGTAAGAGATGGCTTTCTAGAGAGAGGCAAGGGGGCTTCTGGGCCAGAGCAATGATGGGTGGGAGTCCTGACCCCCTCGCGCCTCCTTTCTTCATTCCTAGGTAATGGGACCCTTAATAAGCTGGCAGGGATTGACTTCCGGCAGCTGAGCCTGGGCCACAAACTCAACGAGAACCAGTCAGGAGAGGTGCTGCTCCCTGCTCCCCTAACCCTAACCCTCTCCCATCAGAGATGGCGAGGGGGCTCCCCATTCCTGGCTTTGCCAAGTGCCCTGACCCCTCCCTTCCCTTCAGCTCTGGAAGGGGCGCTGGCAGGGGAACGACATCGTCATCAAGGTCCTCAAGATCCGCGACTGGACAACCCGGAAGAGCCGGGACTTCAACGAGGAATACCCCAAGCTCAGGTGAACAGGGCAGGGGTAGTGGTGGCAGGAATGGGGGGGGGGGAGTCTTTGCCCTGCCCCTTGAGCAGCACCAGGCCTGTCTTTGGCTGTGTTGAAGCTGATCTCTCTCTTCCCCACAGGATTTTCTCTCACCCCAACGTGCTGCCGGTGCTGGGTGCCTGCCAGTCGCCCCCCGCTCCGCACCCCATCATCATCACCCACTGGATGCCCTATGGCTCCCTTTACAACGTGCTGCACGAAGGCACTAGTGAGTCTTGCCACCAGCTGGGGTGGTGGCTCCTTATAGTCCAGCAAGGGGGGAGGGGTGTTAGCAGAGGGCCCAAAGTCACTGACCGGCTGCATGAAACCATTTGCCACTTTGCCGCAGGCCGTTCCCAAAACAGAAACCGCTCCAAGTTGAGCCTGAGCCGTGTTTTATGGAAGCTGTGGACTGACCGTGTAAAAGTACACCACGCAACCTCCCCCAAATCAAAAGCTTGTCCCAGGGCAACCTGAAGAATGTTTGACCCACTGTTGCCAGAATGGGCGGGGAGGGGGGGGCTGATTTGGGTTTCCTGTGGGAGTGCAGTGTGTCATCCCAATTGACGTCCCGACTAACCCTGCTTGGTCGTCCCTGCAGGTCTAAAAAATACAAAAACCCCAGGTGTGTTCAAACTTGACAGCTTTAAGACTTGTGGACTTCAACTCCCAGAATTCCTCCTCTCGCTCTTCATCTTGATGATGTGCGGGCGGGCAGAGGGAACTGGAACCGGTTCTAAACGGCACTGTAGATTTGTGAGCGTAGAACTGGCAGGAACCCACCCCTGGTCCAGGGCCACCAAACCTTTTTCCTTCCTCCTCTGCAGTCTTGGGGCATAACCCCACTGCACCGGCAGCCCCAATTTCTCACGGTGCAAAGTGACCCTGTTGGCTTAGGGGAAAGCCTTTCCACCACTGTCAGTGAAAGTGCAGCTGCCAGCACTGTGGTGTTTGGATGCCCATTGGGCCGGAGCTGCTCAGAGAAAGGGGCTGTGGAAGTTTCTCTCAAAGGGTGAAATACAGAGGGGGAGGGGAAGGAAGTTCAGAACAAATCCCGAAAGGAAAAGCCCAGCAGGCAATTGACCCGAACAGCCGGGGCACCTCTGCCAAGACCTAAATCGACGGCGCCTTTTGCCCGTTTTCTTTCACCCGTTCTAATTTTGGGCTCGGCTTTGTGCTCTTCAGCCAAGCTGCGTTCTCTGGGCTAGGGGACCCAAGGGCCCCTGGAGCAGAGGGGGGGGGGTGGAATGTTGGCCTGGGTCGCAGAACCAGCAGCGACCCAGGCTGGCCATGCCACCGAACCAGTTGCCGCAGCATGTTTTGGCATTTTTTAGATGTTTAGATGTTTGTTTAGATGTTTATTAACATTTGTAGGCCGCCCTTTTCCCTGAGGGGACTCAGGGCGGCTCACATAAAATCAGGGAGGGGGAATACCAACAATGACGTAGACACATATAATAAAAGTAATAAGCAACATACATTCATCATTCGGGAGGGGCGGCTATCCTTGTCCCCAGGCCTGACG